TTTTTTTTTTTTGTCAGTCATGGGACTTGAACTCTGGGCTTGGACACTGTTCTTAGCTCTTCAGCTCAAGGCCAGCACTCTAACCACTTGAGTCACAGCGCCACTTCCGGCTTTCTGGAGATGAGAGTCTCACAGACTTTCCTGCCCTGGCTGGCTTTGAACCATGATCCTCGGATCTTAGCCCCCTGAGTAGCTAGGATTACAGGCATGAGCCACCAACGCCCAGCTATAAATCTTAAATCTTCTAATTTCTCAGGCTGGGAAGGTGTCTCAATGGTAGAGTGCTTGCCTTGCATGCATGAGGCCCTGGGTTCGATTCTTCAGTACCACATAAGCAGAAAAAGCCAGAAGTGGTGCTGTGGCTCAAGTGGTAAAGCACTGAAGAGCTGAGGGACAGCACCCAGGACTAGAGTTCAGGCCCCATGACAAAAAAAAAAAAACCACCTTATAATTTCTTGAAAATATGGGCTGACATCACTTGTACATAAGTGCAAACTTGCTTAGTTTGCAACATGGGGAAGAAGTGAAAGGCTTGAAGGTGAAAAAGGAAACGTCAAAGAGGTCCTACCACTCTCTTGGCTGGGACCCAGCACTGACAAGAGCACGTTCAGCATTTCTATCTCATCAGCAAGCCCCCACCTCCACCAATTGTCATTGCAATGACTTGCTTTCTACCCACAGACCCTCCTCGCCTTCCTCCCCACACTCATCCCTGCGTAACATTCCTAGACCAGTCACAACTCAAAAATCTTTGCTCCCAGAAATTCGTATATCACCTCTGGATACTGGCCTGGCTTGCTGCAGCCACAAGTTTCAACCAAGGCACCAACCCTTGGTTGACGCTGGCCAGTTAAGTTCTCATTATATCTAGCAGCCCAGACCTTTTCTCCCAGGCTCTTCCAGCCATCTCCAGTCCTGGCTTTGGGTTTCACTTTCCCTGTTCCCCTACTGGCAACGAATCCTACCCACCCTCCCGCCCCATTACTAAACCCGATCCCTCTTCCTACCAACGCCCAGCCAGTCCCTCCTCTATGAAATTCTTCCCAAACAAGTCCCCGGCCGGCCGCCCCAGTAGCCTTCAGGCCAGCACCTCCAGGTATCCTCCCGAGCCATGTCAAGCCTCGCGGAGCTACAGCGCCTCCGGGGAGCCCCCGACTCCCCACCCTTCCCCAGCCCACCTGCTGTCCTCAGGCAGGTGCTCCTCGCAGCCGCCAAAATCCATTCCCGCGCCCTCCTGCCGCATCCGGGACTGCGAGGCCGCCTCCCTGCTAGAGAGAGGCGTCGCGGTGCTTCGTCCCTCAGGGCACCCAGATCGTCTCCTGGTCTACCCACAGCTGGTGGGGTCGGAGGCATGCACTACACCCAGGCGCCGTCAACGTCAATGACTGGCTGCCTCAGCTGTGGTTTCTACCCCCGCCACCCTCACTTCCGGCTCCAAGAACTACAACTCCCAGCAAGCTCTGCGAAGGTCCGGTCACTCCCGGCATGCATTATTCTACCCAATCTGAGGCTGCGTGAGGGCCGAGCATGCAGACCTCGGTATCTTGCGTGGCCCGCTTTGCGCGCGGCCGGGATTCCGAGATCTGACCGGCGGTTAGCCGGTGTTTTCTTCTCAGGAATTGGTGCGGGTGAGGAACCGTGCACCACCTGCTATTCTGCATCTTGAGAATGTGACTTAGAGGTGAAGACTAGGACCGTTTGAATTATCTTAAGGCCACTTCGGTCCCCGGGACCGCGCACCTGTTGGTGGTGTTCCGCGACCGCAGACATTTAAATACAGAGCCACAGACTCCGAAGGACACGGGTTGCTTTGGGGTCGCAAAAGAAGAGCAGAAGGAAGGTTTCCGGGAAGACTCATGTCAGGGAAGAGTGTTTGGAGGTTCGAAAGGGAGTTTCTCTAAAGAGAGTATATAACCCCGGCTAGCTTCGAACTCGCGATCTTCCTGCCTTAGCCTGCTGAGTGCTGGGATTACAGCAGCAGTGTACAATCACGCCTGGAGTGCTTTTTTTTCTCTTTGGTCTGTCATAGGGCTTGAACTCTGGGCCTGGGCGCTGTCCCTGCGCTCTTCAGCTCAAGGCAAGCGCTCTACCACTGGAGCCACAGTGCCACTTCCAGTATTGGAGATAAGAGTCTCACGGAGTTTCTTGCCCAAGGTGGCTTTGAACCAGGATCCTCAGATCTCGGCCTCCTGAGTAGCTAGAATTACAGGCGTGAGCCACCAGCGCCCAGCCGGAATACTTTTTTTTAAAAGGACTAGTGAAACAGAGAAAAGGGGAAGAAAAGATGGAGAAAACAGTACAGACAGACAGAAATATGCTGTTGGCTTCAAGTTGTAATCAAAGCAGGGAGACGGGAAACAGAATGGTGTGGGCACTTGGGTGTGGGTGCAGGCAGTCCAGGTCAGGAAGTGCTATGGTGAGGAGTTTGTATTTTATTCTAGTTTATCAGGGATATGCAGATGAAGTAATTTGAGCAAACAGGCCTGGGGGAAGTGGCAGGGTGGGCTTAAGTGGTAGAATGTCAGCCTTGAGCAGAAAAGCCAAGCAAGAGCACAAGGCCCTGAGTTCAAGCCTCAGTACCTGCGCGTGGACACGCACACACACAAACATACACACACAGGAAGCTAATTTTTGGAGAAGTGGTATGAATAGATTAATGATAAGAAAGTATAGACTGCAGAGGGATTCGTTAGGATATATGGGTAATACCAGTGAGTGAACTACGCCATTTATAAGAAACGAGAGACTGCAGAATCTGACAGGAAAGCTTAAACCTGATTGAAGAGGTGAAGGCTCCTTACCTCAGTTGTAACTATTGTGAAATGCACATAGTAGCCTCTCAGATATTCTGATTTTTCAAAAGCTAGAATCTACACTTTTAAAATACAATTTTAAAAAATCTTAAATGTTGGCAATGAATTTTTTTGGTCTGAGATTGTGACTCAAACTTGGTACCGATGCTTTTGCTCATTGACTGGTGCTCCACCATGTGAACCACAGCCCCCAGCCCAGTCGTGGGGCCTGAACTCTGGGCCTGGGCGCTGTCCCTCAGCTCTTCAGCTCAAGGCTAGCACTCTACCACTTGAGCCACAGCGCCACTTCCAG